TTCCTCACAATTCTTAATTTACCCTTCCTGTGAAAAGCGCACCATGACGCTGTCGGTCACATGGCCCTGTGCTGTTTCTGGGTTTGTTTGGTTTCCCCTCCCTTGAAGGCTTCTGATTCATTCAGCAAATGAAGTGGTGTGTGTCATTTAGAGCATGAGGCTGTAGCTCCCACTTACAATAATGACAGTAATAACTGCAGATAGTAACTACGTAATTGGGGACTGGTGAGAGGTTACCAGGATCTCTGCTCTAGGTGTAGTCTGTGTTGTGCTGTGGCTGTACTTGGGTAGGAATTGATTCCAACTGAGAGTCTAAAGTAGATTGGTTTGAGTTTTTGTTGTTGGGGTTTTTTTTGTTTCTTTGTTTTCTTTTTGAGTTTGACACCATGAGCTTTGGTTTTTGTATTTCTTCTCTGTGTCTGGAACAGGGAGCCTGTAGTGGTGGAGTCTCATGGAGGATCAGTTTTGTGGTGTCAAAGCAGCACCACCTGGATCATTCCAGACATTTCAAATGTGTTTGGAGCTGCTGCTCCAGAATGGAGCCAGACACCACCAGGCAGAGCATGGCTGCATCCCATTGGAGTCACCCATAGCCATGAGATTGTTTGGAATGCAATTTGTGCAGCCTTCAGTGGTGGCTAATTCATGGTGAGAGGCAGCTCTCCATCCACAGCTTTTCTGAGGCTGTTCATGTAGAGCCTGGAGTCCTGCAAACTCCAGTCCTGAGATTTTAAATTTGAGTTTTGGGGTGAAAGCTGCTGTCCTCAGTGAAGGTGTGAAATTATGGTCCTAGAGCTGTTCTTGGACACCTGCAGAGGGGAACAGAGGAGAGGCTGGATGGCCAAGGGTCTCTGTGAATAGAACTACAGCCAGACCCTCAGAGAGGGGAATTCTCCTGACTTGCTCGCCCAGCTCTTTCCAGAGAAGTGTGACTGTACGAGCTGATCAGTCACTCACAGAACTGCTTTGAATTCTGGAGCTTGCAGGACAGCAGGGCTGAGCACAACCACATCAGTGGGGACAGTATTTGAGTCCACTCTACAATAGTTATGGAGTGGCTGGCACAGCAGTGCTGGTGGCTTGTGTTTGGAGGTAAGCTGTAGCATCATGGAACATCAGACCCTGCTGCTGGATTTCCTGTGTGGAGTGATTTGCTTTGTGCGGATTTCAGGCTGGCACATTTCCCCAGCTGTTGCCTTCCCTTCATATGCCTGAACTCCCAGCACCTCCTATCCAACAGTGACACAGCCACAGTAATTCTGTGTCACTGAATTCACCTGTTTGCTTCCAGGAGCCCCCAACACCGCAGAATTGAGAATTTGTCGTGTGAACAAGAACTGTGGAAGCGTCAAAGGAGGAGATGAAATATTTCTGCTGTGCGACAAAGTTCAGAAAGGTAACCTGGACTAGGTTTTTTCTCTCCCCTTTTCCCAAATAGACACATTCCATGACCATTTTCCTGCTGGGGGGCTGGAACCCTTCACCACACACCTCAGAGCGGTTTGTTTTTGTAGCTGGGTGGAACAGCTTTCAGGTTCATGGGATCTCAGCACCTCTTGTGCCTTTAAAGTTGAGCCATTTACTTTGCATCTGAACTCTGAGTCAGGCTCCTCACTTTGCTCCCCTCTTTCCTGCTGCATGTTTCCAGTTTTGCAGCTTAACAAGCATCTTCTGTTTCTCGTGGCCTAGATGACATAGAAGTCAGGTTTGTCCTGGACAACTGGGAGGCCAAAGGCTCCTTCTCCCAGGCCGACGTTCACCGCCAGGTCGCAATCGTGTTCCGGACGCCGCCGTTCCTCAGGGACATCAGCGAGCCCGTCACGGTGAAGATGCAGCTGAGGAGACCCTCTGACCAGGAGGTCAGCGAACCCATGGACTTCAGATACCTGCCAGATGAAAAGGGTATGGTTCCAATGAGATGAGCTGCTGAACAGCTCTTGGCTTAATTAATGAAAAATCTACAGCACTGCTTCAGCACAGTAGAGCTGTGGGTTTTAAAAGTTACAGCAGTCAGTTTATTCCCTCTTTCAGTGGAAATACCAGAATTATTGTTGGGTAACACTGGCATGGTTTGTTAGTGCTGCCATGACTGCAGTATTTTCCCTTAAATAATTCCTACTACAACTTGGTGCCACTAGGAAGTTCCTTTAGGCCTTCAATAAAGAGAAGTGCAACACTTTCCCCTTCCACTCCTTTCTCTGTAGATCCATATGGCAACAAAGCAAAAAGGCAAAGATCAACGCTGGCTTGGCAGAAGCTCATACAGGACTGTGGTAAGGAAGATATTTGTCTTTTTCTTCTCGTTTGAGTGAACTTACATTTAGATGGAGCTGTTTCCTCTAAATGCTGCACGCTCTCTTTGTGTCCCCTCACAGGATCAAACACGATGGAGAGGCCCAAAGTAGCCCCATTCCCTGTTGTCACTCCTGAAGGGAAGCTGATTAAGAAAGGTAGGTTTTTGCCTGCAGTCTGACAGTGGTTTAAACAGATAGTGCCCTCCTCTTTGCTTGAAATTCGAATTTCTTGAGGGTTTCTTCCTGTGAGATAGTGGTACTTCTGACTGTACACACAGAAAGCTCTCAGTTCTTTATGTCACCCTCAGTATGGGCTGTAGGGGGGTGAGGTAGGCAGCTCTCTTGCTGCTGCCCAGAACTCTGGGGTCCATCCTGGGGAGAAGGAAGCAAGCAGACAGTGGAAATAACACATGTACAACCTTGTTGTAAGTTGGAAAAAACCCTCAAAGGTGATATTCTCTCCGCAGAACCAAACATGTTTTCCTCCACGCTGATGATGCCGTCAGGGTTGGGAGCCCTGTCCAACACGAGCCAGCTGTACCCGGGCTGCTCGCACACGCCGGCGCTGGGGCCGGGCAAGCAGGACGTGCTGTCCCCGAGCTGGCTGCACGGCTCCGCGTCCCCGGCCGGGCTGCTCGGCTCCCACCTGCACAGCAGCTTCTCCACGGAGCCCCAGCCCAGCGCCCCGAGCAGCAGCTCCCTCCCGGCCTTCCACGACAGCGCCCTGGCCTGGCCCGACGAGAAGGATTCGGGCTTCTTCCGGACCTACGGCAGCACCAACGGGCTGGGAGCCGTGGTGCTGTCG